AATATAATAGAAATAACGGTAAACTTCATCTTGAACACTTAATGTCTTACACACAGGCAAAAAGCTCAACAACATTCTACACAATGGACTTAACGTTTTGAACTCCTTGACTTAAGTATTAATCTTTATTTGATTTCGGTAAACAAAAACGTCACCACAGATGCGAATTGACAATGAAAAACGCAAATTATGTCAAATATATTTTATTATACATTTTAATGTACCCACATTAGGTATATTATTATGTATTTAAATTTTGTTTGACATGTTATCTATGTCATGTTTTTTTTTTGTTGTATATCAATAAGTATAATCTATTTGTTAATATAAATTTAGTAAACGATTTTTTTCTTATCCCAATAACATATTTTCCTTGTTTTCATGCAGCAAAGTAAGTTTGATTTAAAATTTTAAAATTATTTACAACTATAAAAATACTATACATTATGAAACCGTTATCAACATCAATCGCTAGATATTTAATAGTTTACCCGGCTTTACTTTTTGTGATAATTCATATTTTATGATTATTTGTCAGTTAGAAGTATTAGATTATTTGTAGTATTTATTGATAAAATTTTGAAAATAATAGCTTGTCATTGTAGAAAACATCTTGTTTTTGATTAAAAAAAAATAACTATCCTAAAACTGTACAAATATATATGCTATTGCTCGTCTTTATTCTTTACTAGATAGGAAAATATTATTTATTATTATTATACATTTTCTGTACAATCAAATTAAATGTAACATTATTAATTGTATAAACGATTAATTTATGACAATAATAGTTTTGCATGTAAATTTTATAATATTTCCCTGTCTAGCTTTTTCTGTACAAGTCTCAGACAGTTAAATATACTTAGTTCACATCGAGCAAGTGTTTTTTTCTGCTCTAATTAAAACTTTAACATAATCAAAAGCAACTAAAATAATTTTATGATACAATAGTGTGACTAAACTTCACTTGTATACTAACAATTATTTTCTAAAAGGAACATAATAATAAAAATTACTATTTTTTTTAAAAATTATAGCATGATCTAAAGCAAAAAGAAAAACTAAAAAATCCAAATGACTTCTAACTAATAAACATGTTCATCATAATTACTTTTTTAGCAAATTTGTTTAGAATTATTTTTCAAAGGAGTCATTATAGTGTTTCATCTACAACATTAAATCTAAATCATAATTTAGTATATACACCGTTTAATGATGTTTTGAAAAATGGGAAATAATTAATTGGATACTAATTTCTGTTGATATTTTTAAATTCAGTTTTAGTCGGTGTTACATATTATTATATTATTAGAGTTTGCAATAAAAGTGTTAATTTGCACCTGTGTCGCAGACACAACAATAATATTTGCCCAATAGGAAACATCACGATTGTAATTGCTGCGTTTTTTTTACTTATTAAAAAATTAGAACGAACAAAAAAAGTTAAAACAACTCAAGTATTCGGGCAGATAAATTTGATTTAATTATTCTATGATAAATTCATTGAATAGATAAAAGCAAAATATATATCATAACAATAGTTGACATTGAGGAAATTTCGTTTAATTTGGTTAATAGCGTTGTAAAATTGTGACAATGGCAAAACAAAAAAAAAATCATGAATACGCCATTTTTACAGATTGCTTTGAGTTGATAATTACATGAATTCATTTTTTTTTTAAAGTTAATTAGTTTATGCACGTGTCTTTTTACCAGAGTTGATAAAAAATTCAGTTACCACCGCTTTATTTTTTTATCAATGTAAAACAGTGGAAGTAATTTCACATGCCCGTTAATGATATGATCTGCGTTATGATTAATGATTTACAGAGTTTGTGGTAAACACAAAGAGTGAGTGTATTATGCTAAACAGGAGGTGTACACATCATTAACGGATGTAATTTATTTGTTATTAATAACATTTTAATATTATAATAATATGTTGGTCTCGTTGTAAGTCTTAAGAATACTATGAATAGTAGGTATACTAATCATTAATATAATAATAATAATAGAAGGGCACGTGACAGGACTTGGGTCATTGAAACACAAAGTTATTGATGTAAACAATTTCACAGCTGACTAGATATTAGATATTGTGTCAAACATTATTAAGCAACTTTTTTTGTATGTATAATTTCAATAGTTATAGAATTAAAGTTCTAAATTATATAAACTCTTATTTTTACATAGTAAAAGTTAAAAGTATAGTTATTACTTTTTTGAAATTAATGTTAACCTTTTGATCTTGATTTGCATTTGCCGAATCTAAAACTCTCAAAACTAGGTTATGCCACCTTGTTAGTTCTGCAAACCAGATGGTTCTCGGTTTTCGTGACTGCAGTTGGGTAAAACAAACTTCTTTGACTTTTGACTTTTCATAGTTTCTCCGGTGAACCGATTCTACACGCTGTACACTTTTATTATGGGAACACGTTGTTTGGATAGTAAAAAAAAAAAGTCATAGGGGCCAGACACAAAAAAAAAAAATACACATCATTGTTAATTCAATACCCCGTCGGCTTCGTGCGTTTGTAAGTATTGATTATGAAAGGTATTGTCGGCACACACCTAACAAAAATAGTCTTTTTAATTTTGATAAATGAAAGTTTTTAAGCTAAACAGATGTAACTAAATATTTATCCGGGAATTAGACTCAAAGTATAACACAATTTTAAAAATAACTTAGCTAGAACTATTTAACATGGTAAAAATGTTTAGATTAATCTAACTTCAGTTTCACATCTCCCTGTATATATTATACACTGCCTTTATATGCTCTTTTACAACCCAAAAAATTGTTTTCATTTAATTTTTAAATACATTTTTTCTTTAAATGTTGAGACTTATTGTAACCACACAGTCTATTTATAAAAAAATAAATAAATATACAATATTATTATTAAATAAAAACTTTTTTTAAAAAAAAAACCCCAAATAAAACAAATTATGTAAAAACAAAATAACTGTCAACTTTCTTTTCTTTTCAATCTGAAAATATTTAATTTATCTTATATTTCTCCATAAAAGAGAAAACATTAGATCATGTGTAATATTGTGTATGCCGGATGGTACCTATAACAAGGAATTTTAATATAACAGTCATAAACCGCGCCCGGTCACTTCAAATATGTGTTCATGTACAATTTTCTCCCCCCCCCCTCGTCTCGCCACTTTTTCCCACCCCACTCATCTCTTTGTGTCACAAATTCAGCTTAGCCGTCGGTTAGATTAAATTCATGGCGCATACTTTCGACATACTCGTGTCAAAAAAAAAAAAAAATTCTCCTATACTGTTATTTAATTGGTAATTTTAAATAAGTTAAATTTGAAATTGTAAAGTCCGCTGCAGATGTGGATAACATTAAATACTGTGCCTCATGTCACAGTGCTGACATCATATATATATACAGGGTGATCCACTTATTGTGAACCACTCAATATCTCAATGGATTTAATTAATAATTGAATTTTATTTTCCATGTTTTTTCACAATGTAATCTCAATTTCCCTCATTTTTTTTTCGTTTTTACTCCCATTCCAACTTAGTTTTTTCGATAGTGACTTTTGAAACTTTAACGGTAACGCATATATTTTATTTTTATTTTTTAATTGAGAATAATGTACCAAAAATGTTGACTGGTCGATAACCAGTTTTGGATAACTATTTTTGAAGTTATAAGATTTTAAAAATAATGATGGGAGGAGAAGTGCGGTTAGGAAATCCACCTTTCCTCCTGCCTTAAGCTTGAACCTTCAATAACTTTAAAAATAGTTATCCGAAGCTGGTCCAGTGAATATTTTTAGCACATTATCTCCAATTTAATAAGTTAATGAAGTGTATGCGTTACCCCGTTTAAGTTACAAAAGTGCTTATAAAAAAAACTAAGTTGGAAGCAGAGTAAAAACAAAAAAACAAAAATTGTGAAAAATTGAGATCACATTTGCATAAAAACACTATGCAAATAAAAAAATTTAATTTGTTACTAAATCCACTGATATATTGAGAGGTTCACGATAAGTCGTTGATCACCTTTATATAGATATATAATAAATATATACATATAATATAACTATAGAGATAATAGATTAATGCGGGGTTGCACTAAATATTTACACAGAGATAAACTCGTTTAATTGGAGTTAAAATAAATTCTGTTGCATAAACCATGTTTTAAATTTTATCTGTTGTTGAAAATGTATTTTATAACGAAATAAATTAAAAAGGGTCATTTATCGCTGTTTAAAAATGTATGTATGGTTAAATTTTGTTATCAATGTTTTGCGTTCAAGTGGTGATAATGGAAATGTGCGTTATCAGTTTATCATTGATTAGACCCTGTGTGATAATAATAACTCCTACTGCTGATACCATTTATTCGATAACCAGTATACTGGTAATAACTTGAATGTAAAACTACGCTTGAGCAACACTTGTAAATTGAACACATGTTAATTCACAACTAAAGTTTAAAGTTAATTTAAGATAAAGTTTAACAAAAGTTAGTTTATCACGGTAGTAAATAACTTACTAATAGATAACGACAAGTTTGGTGCAACCGGACAATAGATTATGACTCTTCATGCAGATGTCAGGACATATAACCATGAATCTGCATGAAGTATGGGTATATTCTTAGCTCGGTTAACTCAGTTACTACCATAAAGGATTTAATATATATAAAATTGTTATTGTCCAACAAAAAAGAAACACAGTCTTTGTAAATAATACTGTTTTTGCAAAGTATACAATTGCCGTCGGTGGTCGCGCGCTTAACCGCGTTGTTGTGGTTACAACCCCTTTTGGCGCGCATGCGTCGACAACAAACCACCCCCACCCCCGTTCCATCCCTTTCGGCGCACCCCCGCCCCCTCTGCTCTGTTCGTACTTGTTTACTTTCCGAGATAACGTGTGTACACGCCGAAGCTGGCGGCGAGCACGCGGACAGTACCGTTCGAACGCTCGCGGTGACAGTCGTGCCGGTCAGGTCCAGGTCGTACTATAGGTCGCGTAAACGATAACAACAACAACGATATTGTCATTGTTGTTGTTGTTGTTGTTGTTGTTGCTGTTGTCGTTTGCCTTTGCCGGCGCTCATCGATGATGTCGGTTTACAGGTATGCATATTTTTTTTTTCTTTAAAATTTTTTCCCATAAACGTTCAGCGCTGAGAAGGCATTGTGGTTTTATAACGACGTCGTGATGTGGTTTTTTTTGTGATTTTACTATCTGATTTCCAAAAATATTCTTGCCTTTAAAATTGAAAAAAAAAGGTTTTTCAGCCGAGTCTGCAACCACGAAAGAGCATTTTCGTGTCTCGTTGAAGTACCGAATAAATTTAGAGTAGTGGTGGAATTATAGATAACGGTATAGTATATTAACGAGCGGTAACGAGCTAGTATAAAAATAAAACGTCAAGTTTCTGGCTAAAATTGTAGTGTTTATTATCTGGCCTAAAACAATTCATAGAGAAATTGGGCCCTTAAAATGTTTTGAATTTATTGTTTAGTTCTAATTTGAACGTTGAACGTACAACATATCTCTTATCTCAAATCAGATAACAGCGTAACAGAATAACATTCGAAATAGATCCGAAATGGTCATTCCGATAATTGTCTTTCGTCGTCGCTTCGTAGTTTTTGTTACATTGCGGCGCGTAACAGCGTAACGCTTTTTTGGTAACACTTTTTTTCGGTTATTTACCGACTAAATCTCACCCTTATCTCCTATCCCCTATTCCACCCCTATCTCCCGTCCCCAACCCTTTCGCTTTTTTCGTTACGCTCTTTTGGTAACGCTTTTATGGTAACGCTTTTTTCGGATATTTGCCAGGGTTATGTGCCAGAGCTAAGACATGAAAATGTCAAAAAATGTACATATTATTCGACTTAAAATTACGGAGCACAATACCTATAACTTAAAAAAAAATTAACTTTATTTAGTTCCAAGTTTGTATGGAATATTCTTCAGACATATTAGTACCGATAAACGTTGAAAACCATAATAATACCATATTTCGATTTTTCTAGATGTAGTCTTAGGGTTTAAGGTCTGAAAATTAGACCAAAGATGGTTCTAACTTAAAATTAGGGCACTCGATAATTTTTAAAACAATATTTATCTAATTGGTTTCAATTTTGTATGGAATATTCACATAATATCATAAACCCTGTCCTTTAGAAGGGGTGCAACTTTTTGCTTTATTTTACTTTTATAGTTGACGTGTTATGGTCAGAAAATTAGACTGAAGGTAGTTCTAGAATGGGACTGTAATATTATATACAATTTTCTCAAGATTTGGGCAAACCTGTTTTTTTTTGTATTAAGGAAACAACCAATAAAATGGGCAAATTACACTTTCACAGTAATCAATTTCCAGGATTTTTATATTTATACATTTATAGATAAAAAATTATCTCTGATAATTGAGAAATTATTTAATATACATTTTACAAATAACAAATAAAAAAATATTTTTATATTTGTTGAAACAAAAACAGTCCTTAATACCTAACCTTTTTTTATCTTAGAAGGCTTAACAATTGTATAGCTATTATTGTTCTATATAAATTCAATCAAATATAACAAATACAAATGCATAATATAATTATATAATTATATGATAATATCATATTATCACATATTATGTCAAAATAAATGAAACAATAATAGCTAAGGTTATTATTTTATACAAACCAAAATTAACAAATAATTTAGTCCTAATTAATCTAATAATATATTATTAAAAAAAAAATGTATTATTATTAATCGCTTTATCTAAATAAAAATTGTTCGAATCTGAGCTGTATTATCAAATATAACAAATTCACTATAAAACACTAAGAAAAATGTATAACATTAAAACTAATACACAACACATTACAATATTTATGTACTATAGCAATGATTAAAAAAACATACCAATGCAATTTTCAGTAACATACAAAAATTTAAACCTAAAACTAATGTTTTTAAGACCTAATACGACGTGTTATCACACAAATAGACAATTTTTATTGATAGTAATATTTTTATCAAAACCTCACTATCACTTTTTAAAAAGAAACAAAACTTTTCCTGTAAAATATTTTGTCTTTATTTAAGTAAGATTTCTCGAGTAGACATATTGCAACAATAATTTAATCACCGTTTGAGAGATGATAAGTTTAAGTTTGTTTGAAAGTAATCCCGGAGGCCATTAATGAAGACTAAAAATAGAGCCTAATTAGATTTTATCCATTTTTTTAAAATGTATATAGTATTTTGTGCACACAAAAATTATATATATATTTTCTCGGTTTTGAAAATGAGTTTTAGTAGCTGCTATGATTGTGGATTCAGACAGTTAATTGAAAAAAAAAAAATCACACCATTGTAAAACCAAAACCTTCAAAGGTTTATTTTTAAAAATGAAAAATAGTAAAAATAATAAAAATTGTCATTATAATATATTACAACGTTAGTCTCGCGGTAACACAATACAGAGGTGTAAAACATACCATGGAGACATGGTGATCTTAAAAGGATTTATAACAACCCTAAAGGATCGTTTTGAAGGTACGACAACGTTAAGTGGTCGAAGTGGAATATCTTTATTTTACCTGTCATAAAAAAAAATCTACATATTTTTTATCACCATGTTTGTACATTTTTGGTGTTCCATTATATTTTGTTGTTTTCCATATTGTTATAACACCGAGGCCGACGATTTTTATTTTGTTTTCTGCCTTACTAGTTTAAGACAGGAATTTTGCAGAGCCAGTCAACAAGACACCGAGAGTCACAGTATAAATAAGACAATGGTCGATAGGGTCGACCGGCGATTTGGCCGTACAAAGTGCTCAACGTGAAAGCGATAGAGTTCAATAAAAAGCGAAACCGTGGTCACCGTGTAAGTAATTTCGTTAAGGGATTTGCGAATTGACAACTTTGGTATTAGAAAAGTATTGGAACCCAAAAGCGATTGCCCGGCGAGAAGCCAATGGAGAATGGGTATGGTGAAACATCTACTAGGGTGTGTTCTACTTTCCCTTTTATTATTCACTGACAGTTTACAATGAAACACTCAAGTGGGGTTTTTCGGACCACAATCGCTTTTTGTGAACGGTCAAACTGTTATTTATCCAATTCAGTGTACACGGACACGGTGTAAACATATTCAATAGGGAGGTTTCGATAAATCGGGGCAAGCATTGTCACACAAAGTCCTAATGGATTTCGACTTCAAAGACTCGGGACGCTGATATGAAAACCCTTTTTTGATTAATTATTATTAGGCTCGAACGTAATTAAAATAGCCGGATTTTTTACTATAGATCCAGTAAAATAGCAAGACAAAAATATGAATATAACATATTATTGAGTATGTCAATTAGTATTGTGAATAAATTGTTTATAATGTATTTGAAAAAAAAATTATATTTTGGCTCAAATAATTATTGTACACAATATCTAATATAACGCATCATTGACTGATTTCGACAATAAATAAACCATAAACTGTTTATTAAAGCAGTTGGTAAGTCATTTGATAAAAATCGCATTAAAGTCAAGAAAAAATACTCAAATTATATACATTTTGCAATAATGAATTACTCTTATGCCTTAGTCAGCTTTTGGCTACTTAATATTTTATTCCACGGTAGTACCTACTTAAAAAAAAAACTATTGATTTTTTAAAAATATTTATTATATTATATTCTTGTTATAAGTTGTGCTCTCATTAAAACGAATACAACACCAGTGGGTCCGAAGAATGATTTATGAGTTGTGAAATATTGTAATATGCTCTGGGGGTTTTATGCGGACTTTGGAGTTTTAAAAACTATAATATTTCTTATATATATATATTTGTTATGCCTTCTGTCAAAAGTATACAAAAGTGTACGTGCACATTTGTTCTATTGGTATTGATGGAATAAATTTAAATCCGTCAATTTATATTTGAAATCGTCATGGATTTGGCCCTTTCGACGTTTCTGGTTTGTTTTCTAACGGATTAGAGCAAAGAGATTAGAAGTTAGAAATAAGATATTAAAGATAATAGATTAGAGGAAATAAAATAGAGGTAAGATATCAGAGATAATAAATAAGAGATACAAGTTAAGAGATAAAAGATAAGAGAATAGAGATGAGATTAAAGATAAGATAAGAGTTAAATTATTAGAGATAATAGAGTAGAAATATGAGATTAGAGATACAAATAAGAAGAGTACCAAAAAGTTCCAGCGTTCTATACTTGAATATAAAGACACATACGTGTGCCCATGCATCCGCTTGTAGTATGGATACTCGTTTTTTATAAACTAAATTGCTACCTAGTGATAAGAATGGAAATCGACATCGGCCATTTTTGTGGGATCTACGTGTGTATAAAATAATATATGTATCTGTGATTCTGTGTTATCAACTCAACTTATAACATTGTTATCAACATATTTTCATGTGATAAGGTTTTAATTCCCACAAAAATGGCGGAAACTTCAGTTATCTCTATTGGCGGCGTGTACACTTAGCAATCTAGTTCATATCTGTGGCTTTAATAGGGAGTGCACCGTCTGGTTTTATCTAACCTGTGATTACTATGATAATATAACTGAAATTGGCCGAAACAACATGTGAGTGTATGCCAATTGTATTAGCAACTAGCAAAGTTCCAAAAATGAACCACTCAAAGATCGATTTTTCGTCGATAGTGTCGTTTTACTTGGAGAGCTGAAGACATCTTTCGGAGATGGGTATCTTTGACTTTTAAGGGTGAAGTATTTAGCGTGTAAAGCTGATTAGCAGTCTTCGACATCATTATTGAACAAAACCTACGTGACTCGAACCCATAACGAATTTCGCCGTCTTTTTATTGAGCAAAAAAGCTAACGTTAAATAAGGAATTTATATATATTTTTTTCATCGCTTCGGCTTTATTCTTTTTAGCAATAATTATAAATGTTCGGTTTGTGATTTCAATCAAACTCTCATGTTAAAAAACCGGCGTTACCGTGTCTTTATGCTTTCTTAGTTGTTTCCTTATAAATTATTTATATCAACTGTACTGGAAAGTTAAAATTGTATTACATTCACTTTGGGGAAAAACATAATGTAAACAATTTTGCCTTTTTTATCGCCGACATGATATTATCTAATTATTTTTTTTTTTTTATTCTTGCCATTAAATTCTCTGGGATAATTTTATGCATAAAAAATGGCACATGTTAGCTCTCCGGAGACCGAAAAAACTATTCACTTTGTGTGATGTTCATCTTAATTTACATAAAACCATATTTTAACGACATTAATTTGCGTAGATAAACCTATTTTGTCGTGTGACCTTTTATTGCACAAGGTACACTTTCGCTTAAGTTTCGCAGAAACCATTTGTTTGGTTTATTTAATATTTTACTATTGTGTTGTCAAAAGTGCAATGCGTTTACTATATTATTACACTCAAACTGTACGACTATTGTCCTAGTACTCAGTATTAATTAAATATTTAATAGCACTGAAGTGTGGTGGAACAATAGTTGTGCAGGTGCGTTTTGCATATAATTCCCAATATTCGGTTCATCTCATTTAATGGATTGTCCATTAAGGTAAAGTGGTATCGTCTCAGATGGTGCCCTTTACGTTAAAGATGTGCTTTATATACACGGTACCATTATCAAAAGATAACAGTAATATTATTAGCTTTTTATGGAATTCGAATTTCATGAAATAAGGTCTTAGTTACTACACGGGATGTTTTAGTGTTCAGAAACAGTGTATATTTCCAAAAATAATTAACTCTACGCCAGTCGGTCGTTTCTAAGTATTAAGAGATCAAAGTACCTAATTAAGACCGAGTAACGTCGTCCACGTTCCGTTATTGAATCAACTATAAAGTATGTCACGTACTAAATGTTTAATATTTATGCTTACAAGTCTAGACATAATAATTAAATTATGCCAAATTTAGAAAAATATTTAACAATTTGAAATTGATGCGATATTTAGCTGAGGTACAATATATAATTTTATTGTCATTATTTTTAAGGCCAATCCAAAAATATCGATAAATGTATTTAAACAGCTGGTACAATTTACATTAGAAAAGCAAAAATTGGATTAAAAAAATTAGTTGCATACTGCAATGTATAATTAATATTTAAGTTTGTATACAATGTGTTTTTTAATTTTTTATTTATGGACGAATAAACATTTACACAATAATAAAAAAATTTTCGAAAAAAGAACAAAAATACAGCATCTATTTTTTCATGAATATTATTATAACTTCCCTTTGAGAAAAACATGTTTTATAATTACTAGTTCTGTTTACAACGAGTGATCTAATTTTTGTATGCAGTGAAATTCTTACAATGATTTTATACTGTGCGAACGTTTCGATTATTATATCCTTATAAATTAGGGTTTCAAATAATAATAATATAGTTTATTGCATATTTTATAGAAAAAGAAACATATACAATAATTAATATAATAATAATGTGAGCCGACTGGTCAGATTTTTAATCACATAGACATCTTATCCTAAAATTAATATAGTTTTTGTACAGGCATAACTTATAAAATGATTTATAGAAATATCGCTTAGCGTACATAATGTATACTTAAAATTAACAAATATTGTATATTTCCCACCAAACCGTCCCAAATGGCCACGTGGATTATTAAACAATTCGCTTATTTTATATTCGCTTAACAAGACGCTTACAATTTACATATTTGAATATTTATACAATACATATATATTTAAGAACACGAACCATTTAGTTTATTATGTATTTAGATTATATTGATTTATAATTTTTTAATAATGTATTGCTTGTCCCAGTATGCAATTGTCCTATAGAAATATTGCTTCAGAAATAAGTAGTATCAGCCATTGGTCAGTTGTTTTATGTACTGGAGAAAACCTGCTTGCTTTCCACTGTTCGATTAAATGTTTATATTTAAAGTATTTTTTTTCTCATTTTATTTTTTATGCAAACCATAATAAAGTTAAGCACCATTAATTTACAAAAAAAAAATTGTAGTCACAATTCATTTTTATTGCGAAAAACCGCCTTAAAAAAAGCGTACTAAAAACAGGGTAATAAAATTAATTGTACGTTCGGCGATTTTAAATTTTGTTTACTTACAAATTTTATAGTGCTATAAAAAAAAATTCATTGAACTTGTTGGATACTTTTACTTCAAACAGCGTAGAGCTGTATTCATAACATTCATTTGACACTATTTCCAAGTTCATTTTTTTCATGTGAAGCGTTAACGTTTTTATCTTATCCGTCGACTCGCATTATTCTTATTGTATATGATATCATCTGATATCTCCTTATCAATGTCAATTGTTATCACTGTGATAAGTACTGTTATCATCTCCTTATCAATAAACAATATTTTATCACCTGGCTCTCGCCGTTATTTTACTTTCTCATTATAAATTCAGCAGATAATTTATGTGTACACCATTGCAAAGTATAACATACTGTGTCAATGTTCTCGGCTCGTGTACAATGTAAACGGTACGTTTTGCTGATATGTGTTGCAGGTCATCGACGCCGATCACGACGTTCTACGGAAGCGATTACCGGCCAGATGACGAACCGTCGTCGGAAGCGGTTCTCGAGGAGAAAAGGATTCTGGACCATCAGCTCAGACGGCCTTCGCCATCCCGGAGGACTCCTTCCACGATGTCGGCGATTCGGCCTCCGTCGACCACCAGACCGGGAACCAGCCAATCGTTGCGGGTCCGGACGTCCGGAAGTTCGCCAAGAAGGAGCTTGCAACGTTCGACGGCTTTCAGGAGTAAACGATCAATAACCATCACGGACCGGGGTCGGACGGCGTCAATGCCTGCTGTGCCAGTCATAAAGGTAAGATCCGTTTGAGCTCTTCCGGCTCGGTGTTGGTAGATAATAATATCACCGGTGGTCGTCGTTAAAGGGTCAGCAGTTACGCCGGCTTTCCCGGAGGAATGTGTGTGTAATATGTATATGGACGAAACCTCTGAACCTGGGCTAAATAATCCCTAGACCCCGCTGACAATGGATCACCCGTTCCCGTTGATATTTGGATATACTCAATGTTACAGCACTGTCGTTAAAGCACAGAGTTGACCGTTAATCAACTAAAACTACAATTGAAAAGTAAATCTAATCATACATCTCCGCAATATATGGGTGATCCAACTAACGTAAGACCCTCATTTTCTTTGAAAATATGAATATTTTGAGAATTTCTTTTCCCCTAACCTTTTAGGTACATATTTAATACATTTTTCAATATGAATCGCTTCATGCCAAAAGGGCCTAAGTTAACATTTTATCAAAAACGCGTTTATTACAGATTTGTTATCAGTTAACTTAGACGCATCGATTCATGTTTGCTTTTATTGGAAAATTTGATTTTTAGATCACGTTAGTTTTGGTTTTAGCGTAATGAATTTTCAATTTCAGTAAAAGATGACCGGATTATTAAAAAAAGGTTACAATAGATAATAACCGTTTTCAACACAAATATCTGTGTTATCATTAATATTGATATGATGACTCCAAATACCGCTGATATAACCATAATAGGACCTACTGTCTAGTCAAACAAATCCCCATACCAAAACTAACAAGGAAAGAAAACAAACAAATTTGCTCAACTCTGTATGTGTGTATATATGTATATAAGATTGGTAGATATATAGAGAGAGAGTCTTTTGTATCAAAAAGGAAGTACAAGATGAAATAGTATATAATATTTCTTTTATAAACGATGAATGGTATACCTACCGCAGTATAATACCCGTGTCGTTTGTATTCAGGTTATCGTGGGTCATAATTTTTTATGGTTTATATACGAATGAAAATGTCTTTTTTTTTTTTAATAAAATGTACGCAGTTTTTGCAAGTTAACACAACAAATTTACTGGTAGCTCGTGGCCGGTATAATTTTGTCGTGTACCGAAGGACATGGATTACCGAGTCAGTGCCTGACTTTACTTACCTTATCCTCAGCTATGACACCTGTTGTGCCGTACACTATTCTTAGAAAATTAAATACACCATAGTGTGTAGGCAGCAGAAAGCAAAACCATACCTTACCCGACTATTACCATACAATTAAATTGATATAGGTATAAAGTAAACGTCGAGCACGGAACTTTACACAGGGAAGGCGTATAGTGAAAACAAATTGATCCCAAACGGATTCCGCCATCTTGATTTCTGTCATGGAAAAAACTGTGTAATATCATTTATTTTATGATTGAGATCTGATAACATCGCATCAGTTAACATGTTCTGTATAGCAATTTTGTTTTTTTGAAAATGAAATGTGCTTTTTTTTCATTAAAATAAAGTTTTCTTAATTAATCTGCTATCAACTGACTCTTGTTATTCTTGTCATACATGTTTTCGGCTAAATTTATCATGTCAATTGTCCTTTTTATCACTGTCTTATATTTTAAGCTGATTTCTCTTTATCAATTCACCATACCCCATCGGCTGACTCTCACCATCCTTGTATACTTGTATTCTCGATCTTATAACCAAGTCTGCTAACTCGCTATAAGGAAAAGCGTAGCAGTTTTTTCCAATATGGTGGCCACCGGCGTGATGTTTTATACACCCAAAAAAAAAAACGTATATAGCCTGATCAATGCACTCCTGTGGCTACCATATTGGAAAAAGGCTACGCATATCCGTGTAGGGAGTTACCGAACCTGGTTACAATATGGCGCGATTCTTTTGTATTATCAGCTGATTTTTCTCTATGAATTACCAAATCATTCTTATCATACCTATTATCAGCCGGATTCCTTATCAATAAATCATATGTTATCGGCTGATTATTATTACAAATTTTAGTACTATGATGCAAACAATTAGTTAGACTTTACCTTAGACCATAAATATTATATGTGAAAATTAAAAATGCCCAGATTTCAAAAACAACTTTAAAACTTTTTACTACATCCGTGTATTGAGGCTAAATGAAATCGATCGGCGGTGATGAACAAATAATTATTTTTGTAGCAATTATTTGTAACATTAAAACGTATTGTCTGTCATCAAAGGATGCAATCGGTCAAAAGAACATATTAAAAATTCTACAATGGTAGTAAACTTTTCCTAGATTTATCGGACTCGGAAGTTTGTTGTAGTCATACTGAATAAAACTTCATCCCTCGGGGACTTAATAGAGCATAGCCATTTGGCTTGAAATCTCTGCCAAGTCCGTCCGATCAGATAAATAACAACGCAGACACAACAGAAATTGTTGTTTCACATCCAAATAGCTAATCTCGATAAATAAATAGCCAAGATATCAAGTGAGCCAAAAGCCTCGGAAATTGGTCCTTCTGGATTTCGTTTTTTTTTTATAAGTTCTAATAGTATTTTTATGTTTATGTGTGCATTGTTATATTTTTAGAGTTATATGTGAAAACACTAAATATATTTTATGATTCGCCTTAGAAAAAATGATGACAAATGCAATATTTTATAAACTATAAATCACTATATTAGTATCTAATATGATAATATACCTTAAGGTCGTGTATGCTATGTAATGATAATTGAAATATTTGTTTCATTCGTATATTTAATGCGTTTTGAGGTGTTAAATGACGCAAATAATTATTCTAATTTTGACCGAGTTTTTATCACTATTAAACGTAAGCCGTTAATTATTGTTACAAACCTTTTTGTTTTACTTTCGAGTATGTCTGAACTCATTTGGTCACGACAACTAGCATGCCATTATTACTATAGAAAGAATTTTAATTTACCAAACGACTATTTTACTACTATTGTACGACTATTGTATTTGAGTTGCACTTATATTGAGAAATAATTACCGGATATAATTCAATCGCAATGTTAATTTTTCCATACAACATATTCTTATACCGCAAATTCCACTAAAACAGAAAACTATATCAACTACTGTGTTTTTAATATAAAAAATTCTCTAAAAAACTGATTTAAAGTTGATATAATTCATAAATCGCGTGGCTCATGCTTTAAAATTATAACGTATCATGTATGAATAATATAATGTATAATAATGCAATAGTAGATAGAATAATATTATTTTGACTAGAAAAAAAAATTATATTTTGTTTAAAATATTTAGGTTTGAAACTTTGTGGGAAAAAACGATTGTTAAAAAAAAATTAATATTTGTGTTTTTATAAACACATTTATTTAAAATATTGTCTACTTATAAAAAAAATCACACATTCAACAAGCTTATTAAAAATGAAATGTATATAAACAAAAAACCTGAGTAAACTCAGTTAAGAGAATCCACACTTCATGCAAATACATCAATACATTTTATGTCTTGCAATCTAGTATCTTCAATATCTTATCTATAATCCACTAGCTCTATTAATTCACCTCCATAATCCTCTTCCATACTCTATTATCTCGAATTTTTTTCCTAATTTACTATCTTTATTCTCTAGGTATATACTTAACTACAAAATTAGGTTCATAACATGAGCTAAAGGTAGAAATGTAGAAACATGATAATATTTTTTAGGCATTTATTTTTTGGGAAGAAGACCAGCACACGAGTGAATACATTTAATAAAAGAGTATGAGTGATCATCCAACTGGTGTAAGACACTGTTTTTTATTTTTATTTATTACAGAACTCATTGAAACGTTAGGCAGAAAATGAGCGTGCACAGGCGACCTAATAAAATATTAACTAACAGTTAATTATAAATATAAAATGGTGTACCCAAAAGCTCGGTGCACGAACACCTCAAACTCTTAAGTCCTTAGCGAATACATTTTCACACACTATCAGCAAATTTAAATAAACCGTGCCATTAAGCAAATTTTAGAAACGAACCAAACACTTAAATGTGATTTATTCTTGGTAAACTCCCATTTGGCGATGTCACTTTTTCATGAGCGCCAAAACAATCAAGTCGGGCAGAAAGTCCTGATCCTTTGAAAGGGCGAAGGAAAATGTTGAATTTATTTAATATGTACACTATTTTAAGGGCTTAACACTGACAATTGCTCGAATTAATTCTTAAATATTTACCTGCACATAATATAATGTCTCTATTGTTCATAGTTTTGTGCGCAAACGAGTCGTTCTTTAGGTAAACATGCATAAAATGGATAAAGCCAGTAAAATAAAGCGAGTAAAAATAAATAAATAAATCAAGTATACAAGTAAACAATTAGAGCATTTAAAGCGACGTGGCACCCAAAAATTCTCTCTATATGTATACAGGGTGATCCATCTGATGTAAGACGCTCGTTTCTCGGAAAATTTGAATATTAAGCTATAAATCATTGCTTGTAGTGTAAGTTTTAGTAGTACTGTTATGATTTTAGTTGGCGAGAGTTATTGCATAAACATAAAATTCTCTATAGATGTTATCTATAAACTAGGTATCTGTTCACACTCTAATATTAGCATAAGACAGCTGATTAGGTAATACACATTTTAATCGCCATTTACCTATTGCTTACACCATTTTAATAATATGTTGAAATTCCAAGAAAAACAAGGATATAGCGGTAGATTTAAATGTTTCTTTAAGAATAAAGAGAGATTGTATATTTCAATTAAATATTTAAAAATAATAATATCTTGTTTTGTTTGCTTACTTGCTTTATTACTTACTTTATATTTTGTTAAAAGTAAAAAATACTCCAATTAAATTAAAAAAATCACTTTACAAAGAAAACAAAAAAAATGTATTTGTTTTTGACAAGAAAATAAGTATATTAATTTTGTTATTCTCGTGTTGCTTGTGTATTTAAATAAGGATTTTTTTGTGTGTGTTTTAATATACTTTTTTGATTTTGTAATTTCTCTTTTGAAGCAATATTATTATTTTTATTATTTTTTT